CCATCCGTCACACACAACTGTACGTTCACACGCTCAAATGTCCATCGAAACTTGCATTGTCCAACAGGGCATAGCCGTTGATAAACTCGTTTCATACTGCAGGAGACAGCAAGCGGCGGCTTTCTCACAATTGAAATCACCATGGCACACCAAGGCGGCGCGAAAGGAAAGGTTGTCGTTGAGAAGGTAGTGTCTCCACGCCCACCGCCGTGGACATGGCCACGGACGGTGCTGACGGCCGCTGTGGCATGTGTAGATGAATCTTAGCGACGCGGATCCAGGGCACACAAAAAAGTCGAGCTCGACCAAGGGCGACGTTAAGCACGAACCACTGAGTGGCGGAAAGGGCAAAGCCGCAGTGGAAGTGGTATGTGGCGGCTTTCACGAAAATGCTCGATGGTTGACACGCGTCGACGCAGATGAACCCTAGCGAAGGAAATGAGGGGCACAAGAAGCAGCAGTCACACACCACCACGAAGGGTGGCTCTGGTGACGACAAACATGGTGGGGCGAAAGAGCCCAAGCAATACGAGGCCTCCAAGGACAAGCCCGGCGACGCCCATCAAGCTGTAAAGGATACGACCAGCTCCTCGAAAGACTCTGCGCAGAAGCACCATCAACCTTCGTTGCAAAAATCTGCGGAGCGAATGCGTGACAAGGCAAGCTCATCTCTTGAGACCGCTACAAAGCGCTACGAATCTGCCAAGGAAAAGGCTGCCGAAAAAGCCCATGAAGAGGAAAAGGCGAAACATACGTCGACGAGTCACAAGCCTGCAGATAAATCAAGTGTGTCCAAGGAGGCGGGTGGGGTGCAGCAGCTCCCCGAGGAAGCTGGCACGCACAAGACATCAAACACTGAACCATCAGAAAAGGCTCCAAAAAGTTTTGCCGGTGGTAGTGCTTCGCATCACGTCGAGTCGGCCAAGGATAAGACATCGGACACCGCATCGCAGCATTCCGAGTCAGCCAAGCACAAGGACTTCGAAGCTGGTGACAAGGCCAAGCAGCAAGTGAGCTTTACCAAGCAAAAATCAGGTGAACTTGGCGAGACTGGCAAGGGGCAAGCGAGCTCTGCCAAAGACACAGCGTCGCATCAGGACGAGCCAGCGAAAGAAATGGCGCGCAATATCAAGGACAAGATCTCCGACGTTCCTGACACTACGTCGCGCTTGTACGAAAAGGCAAAAGAGAAAGCATCGGAAGCACAAGAAAGTGTGAAGCACAAAGCCGACACTGCCAAACATACTGCTGCGGACGTTGGGGACTCCGTCAAAGAGAGAGCAGCCGATGCGAAAGACGCCTCGACTCAAGCGTACGAGAAGGCCAAGGAAATGGCGGGGGACACGCAAGAGAACGTCACGGAAAAGGTCCGCGCTGCGAGAGAGACTGCGGCTCAGCAGTTGGAAAAGGCGCAACAAACTGCAGCCGATGTTCGAGATATGATGAAGGACAAGGCTTCCAGCGTTCAAGAGACTGCGTCGCACGCTTACGACAGTGCCAAGCAACAGGCTGCGGATGTACAAACCGCGACATCTCAGTACTACGATTCGGCGAAGGAAAAGGCTGCCACTGCCCGCGATACGGTGAAGGACAAGGCAGCTGACACCCAAGAGACTGCAGCTGAAGCGCTGGAAACGGCCAAAGACAAGGCGCACAACATTCAAGACACAACGTCGCAGTACTACCAAGCAGCCAAGCAGAAAGCGGCGGACGCACAAGCGAGTGTGATGGACACAACTACTTCTGCCCAGGACACGGCCGCAGACTATATCGACACTGCAAAGCACAAGGCCGTGGATGCAAAGGACGCAATCAAGGAGCAGGTTGTGGCGGCGAAGGAGACTGCGGACGATGTGTATGATTCAACCAAGGAGAAGATTGGTGCCGCCAAGAAGACAGTGTCAGAGTACATGGAAGCGGTCAAGGAGAAGGGCGCGGCTGTCCAGCACAAGGCATCACATGTGTACGAATCGGCGAGTGAAGGGGCCACTAATGTGGAACACAAGGCATCGGACCTCTATATGTCGGCGAAGGACAAGGGAAGAGCTGTGAAGGACTCTACAGTGCACTTCTATGAGGCCGCCAAGGACACGGCGGTGCGCGCGAAGGACGCGGTGACGGGTGCTGCCGCGACGGTACACGAGAAGGCGTCCAAAGCGTATGTCGCTACGATGGACACGGCGACGTCGCTTCAAGAATCGACTTCTCAGTACGCGCATGCAGCAAAAGAGAAGGCTGTGCATGCGGAAGAGAAAATGGTGCACATGTACGAAGCTGCCAAGGGGAAAATAATTGGCACTGAGGAATCAAAGCACACGTCTGAGCACGCTCATGGCAAGGAGCCAAAGCCCACGACGAGTGAAGATACGGATGAATGGGGCTATGCGATGGTTGAAAACCCAGAAAAGTCTGTCAAACAGCGAAGCGCGGAGACTCTAGCTGCGGTAGCCCCTTGACATTGCTTTAAGCATGTGGCAAACCCTGGTTTTTCTTGTAGGTCAAAGAGCGCGGACATGTCAAAGTCGTTCTCAAGCACGCACCAGCACACGAAAACCCCTCCGAAGCTGCTGCTACTGCCCATGGGGGCCACTCTGCCCAAGGGGGCCACTCTGCCCAAGGGGGCCACTCTGCCCAAGGGGGCCACTCTGCTTAGCTCGTCACTAACTGATAAGTGAAGCGAATTGCACAGTTTGCACGAACACAAAAGTCGGTGTCAACACGTGCCGGTAGTTGCACGCGATGTGCTTGCTATACATGCTTCAAAATGGCCTAGCATCCGTCTGCTTCGACTTTGCATGTTGGGCCTTGTCCACGTTTCGGCCACAAATACCCATCTTTGTTCGCACCAGCTCCATGTTGACGGTGCCTGCAACTTGCAAGCCATGGACAAGTGAGGTGATGCGGGAGATTGTCCAACGAACCAAGGCCGTTGGGGACATCTTTCAACGTCAGTGCCGCATAATCTCATAATCTCGCTAGAACTATGGTGCACGAACGGGACGAAAAGGTAGACAAGACAACGAGCTTTCTCGACAAGATCAAGGACAAAGTCCACGACACCGTGGACAAAACGTTTGACAAGGCAAGCTACGCCATCTGTACACCGTGACGACTCCACGATTGTTTATGTAGTTGAAAGAGACTGTCGAACACCAAACTGGCAAGCCGGCGTCCGCTGGCACGTCACAGCACGAGAAGGAAGGAGAGAGCTCGCAGTTGGGCAAGTCCAACGAATCGCGCGAAACAAGCTTGAATGACGCGGAACGATCCACGGTGAGAATGTCGACAGTGCTGGCTGACGTAGTCGCTCTGTTTTAGCGCACGGGCCAAGCGAGCAGCATCTAAGTCGTGGCTGGGCTTCGCTCGCGACACGTTATGGAGTTAATCACCATGATGAAGTTAAACTTTTGTTTGCGCTATTGCCCATGAACGAGCACAGGTCGTGGTTTTCAGTGGTAAAATGCCCATAAGAGCATAGCGGATCACCTCTCGCGCAAAGTAGCATTTGCTGGTGCAACCAGTGACTTTAGGGCCTTGTCTTCACCAGGTAGTTTTCTCCGCGGGCACCACGTCCCAGATTCAAACTGTCCAAACAAGCGATCGTCCAACGTGCCAAGTCCGTTGGCGATACAAGCTTCGTCTGAAAAGAGCAAGATATGAGAATTTACCATGGCGCACGAACACGATGATCACGACAAGAGTATGCTCGAAAAAATCAAGGACCAGGTAGATGATTCAGATGAACAACTTCTGTCACACCTTACGATCTCGACGTGCCAGTTCACGGGGGCATCTACTTCGAATGACGACAGCGACGAGAACCGCGAAGAAAGTGACAAGAGCATGATTGAAAAGATTAAGGACCAAGTACGCTGACTTGTGCGTATCGGAGGCTCACGTGATGTTAGTTCAAAGGCACCTCGGATGATACGACGGATCAAGAGGCCACGCAAAAGAGTCATTTGAAGGGCCAACCCGTGGAGTTCTATACAACGACGGCTGGCTACGGCAGCCATCCCACACACGCAACAGCGACAAAAAGCGGCCTCATGGGCCAAGAAACCGTGCGCATGGATTACGAGGGGCACGTCAAACCTCCAACAGTTCACTTGAACAAACCTGCAGACACACCGGTACGATGGAAGCACCACCTGAAAACACTGAAGCATTTTTAGCCCATCCAGGGATGGGGAGCCACCCCGTCCGGCGGCGCTACGTACGAAAGCCATCTTGGACGAACTCATGTCGAACCATCCCGAGTTTATGGCTATGGAACAAACCCGTAGGTCACCTTGAGGCCTGCTCTGGTCGAACTCGACCCCAGTCGGAAATAATCTGGCCGACATGGGTGCTGGAAGGTCTCCCGGTTAGTTATCGTGGGACTACGAGTAGGTTGCGTGGGGAAATTGGTTTTTAAGGGGGAATTGAAATGACTAGGATGGCTAATGTATAAATTTGAAATTTGCGTTCCACCTCGAAAGGAAGACGCCTTGCGCACAAACAAGGGGCAGGCGTTCAACGAGTACTTATCTCCAGAATACAGTAGGAGCAATCACTCCTCGATAAAGAGATGTATGTTGTGAGAAAAGAATTATATAAGGAAACGTATAAACTATAGATTTTTCAATAAATATTGCATACGTTCAGTACTAGTACAAAGTTTACGGAGGTGCTAGCGGAATGCGCACATGAATATATCCGCATTGAATTTTGCAATCTTTAGCATTATTGCCTATTCAGATAGAAGTATTTTTCACATTTATTCATAGAAATAGTGTACAGTATATATGAAAATACAGCATACTCCACTGGACATGATGCAGCACGGTTCAGAGCAATGCAATTTATTGTATGCACTTCTTCGCACAACTAAAATGTTGAAATGCGCATGGAATTATTTCGCTCACTGTGGGTAACTTGGTGTAGATTTTGCATTGCTTCCCGAGACGGAGCCCCCTTGCAGACAAACGAGGCGCAGATTCACAACAGGGCCATACATCAATCAAATTTCACGTTCATCGCATTGACCATGGGATGGAAGGGGTGTACATAAACATTGCGTGCGAACGATGGTTACTGGAACGTGAACCTCCAAATGTGAGTGCTGCCGTTTATGTCATCACATTTTGGGTTCTTTGCTTGGATAGACATGCCCGTGAGGTGCCTCTGTGATCTAGCACTTGCCTTCATGAGAGACGTAACCACAGTAACGCGGCGTTGTGAATCCTTTCCTGCACCCACGTCGCTGTTGCGCTGCTTATGTTGCATAGCTCCTACCAACTTAAGCTGGGGTCGTGCCCATGCCACAAATTCGGTGGTCATCTCGCGATATTTCACGCATGTCACCTGTCGCCCATGGCTTCGCATGTCCCAGGTCAACCGTCGCATGACGTCATGTCAGTTAGCACCCCACGGTTGCAATGGATTGTCCATCACGATTCGACTGTTGAGAATCCAGTCGACGACGTGCATTGTGGACGACGGTCACAACTCAAACCACGATGGCGCACCAAGGCGAAGACAAGAGCATGATGGAAAAGATGAAGGAGAAGGTTCAGTCTGGCATGGACAAAGTAATTCTCCTCTCTTCCCTTCTCACGATGTCGTCTTACCGAGGCGTTTGTAGGTCAAGAGCACGTTCACGGGCCACGACGACAAGGAGTTTCCCTCGCGAAGCGGCTACGAAGGCAACACGGCAGCCATGCCGACGTATGCGTCCAAGACTGGGTTCGGTCGAGACGAGCCGTCGGATGCCTCGCAATATAAAGCGGCAGCTCAGCAGAGCGCTGCTGACACCCGCGACACGATGAAGGACAAGGGGCAGTACGCTCAGGACAAAGGCTCCGAGTACTACCAGTCGGCCAAAGACAAGGCCGAAGATGCGCGCGACACGATGAAGGACAAGAGCCAAGAGGCCAAAGACAAGACCTCGGACTACATGGAGTCTGCGAAGGACAAGATGGCGGATGCACGCGATGCGATGAAGGACAAGACGGAGCAGACGAAGGACAAGGGCTCGGAGTACATGCAGTCTGCCAAGGAGAAGGCGTCCGATGCCCGTGACAGCATGATGGACAAGCTTCACCAGGCCAAGGAAACCATCAAGGAGAAGACGGGGGACGTGCAGGATACGGTGAGTTTTGTCGACTAAACTGACTGCTGGATCTGGCTGTGACGATTGCGTAGCTGAAGCATTACGGCGACTCGGCCAAAGATAAGGGCAAGGAACTTCACGAACGCCATATGGGCGATTCCACCAAGGCCGAGTATGTCTCCAAGGATCAAACGGGAGGACAGCGCGGTAGCTATGCTTAACCAACACATCGAATAATTTCCTGGTTCTTTTGAAAGAAATTGCATGGGACAAGAGTCAAGGGAATGCATGGACAGTATGTGCAGGCCACGAAGCACAATCCTCTTCATAAGTGCTGTGCGTTGAGCCATCGAGTACGCGCTAACTGTTGCCGCTGTGACGGATTTCCTTGTGCTTCAAAAGAGAAAAAGGTTGACGAGTTTGGAGAGACGGCAAGTCAGTGACTTCATCGATAGCACTGTCTAAAGTCCATGATGATTGGCGTGGGAACATTTGTCCCACACTGAAATCTCTCACACGAGTGAACAAAAGTAGGCCATGAGATAAAACGCATTTTGGCGGGTGCACTTCACGAACCAAATCCTTCCAGTTCGAGTCCTCCACATATGAAATTCGACAACAGCGCTGCGTTGGTTGCGCATTGCCTCGTGCATTGGCAGTAGAACGTATGCTAGAAGTAGAGATGTCCAGACCGTATCCCAGGACCCATGAGGCCTCGCTCCCACAGTGCTATGTATCATTTG